TTCAGCCGTGGGTGCGTTATAATGTGACGGTCAATCCCATTATTCGTTGGTAAAAAAGTAGCCCAAGAGTTGGCGGTGGGTGGTGATGGCTAGCTGTCTTCCCTCTAGTTTTTTACTGCTAAGTTAGGGACGGCTAGCGCAGATAGCCCTCGTGTAGCTTTGGGCGAAATTCAAAACATACAAACCAATCCATGATCTAACCTTGGTTAAAAAACAAAAATCTTTCTGCACATTTAATCATACAGTGAATTAGAAAATTACCACTAAAACAGCTCCGCCTAACATATTTTATTGTATGTTTATTGCTCAAGTATTTTTTTTAATTTTTCAATTTAATGGCTCCACGTGAGTCAGCGGTGAGTTTACAGACATACAATGCTAAAATATGGGGTTCGTTTCCCCCAAGGTGCATATTTGCACTAAAACAACAATGGCAGTATTTTTTCAATTCTTCAACTTTCGCAATTTTATGTTTCATAGAATTTGTCGATTGAATAAAACACGGGAATGTCAGTTGTATGAAATGTGTAGTTTAGATATTGATCGTCTCAAGTTACTGTTACTTACCACTACTAAACCTTAGTATTAAAGTGTGATAGTCCATTCGGAGTCTTCACTGTACAGAAGACAGCAAACTTATTATGTCACTGTTTGTACAGTGTATGTATTCAGCATTGGGTGTGGGTGCTGGAGGACAATTATCATTCAAATCCTGGACTGTTGTGGATGCTGGAAGACGAGTATCCTTCAAACACTGGACTGCCTTAGTTTGTTTGTTTGTTATTTTTAGCAAAGCCACATTGGGCTGTCTGCTGTATACACTTCGGGGAATCGAACCCCGAATTGTAGCGTTGTAAGTCCATAGACCGGGGGATGGACTGTTTTTTAAAACAAAAACTATAAGTAAACTGGAATTTTTACGTTTGTTTTAACACAGCATAATTTCGTCCCACCGGTTTTATAATTTTGAATTGCTTTCGTCGTGAATGACGATAATGTTTTGATCCATAGCTTAAAATCAATGTAAAAGTTCATAATGTTTACTGTTTATTCAAACGACAAACACTTTTTCTTTTGGTGTTCACTTAAAATATAAAAACACGTGTCGAAATACTTGAACAGATAGCGACCTCGTAGGGTCGTATCAAATATTCGCATGGCGGATTGTAATTTGAGTCCCATTAATTTATGTTTAATGAGTTTAGCTTTATAAAATTTGATCTACCATTAATATATAGTTAATATCAATATTCGTCGTAGTGGGACAGTTTCATTGGTTGTGTTAAGTACACAGTATTGAAAATGATTATAAAAACAGTGAATAAAATTAGTATAAAATGCAATTATTATAGAATGGCATTCATCCTCTATTACTAGAGTAGCGTAACCTTTTTTTTTTTTTAGTTTACATTGTGAGTGGCTGTCATCCAACCAATCACAGTGCTACACTGGCATAATGTTTATAACTCCTTGTGTTATGTTTTACTTGTATGTTTACATCATTTTTCCCAATACTGTAGGGCTGTCTTTCAATAAAAACGAAAGAAACCTGTGAAATTGTTTTATAAGTGACTAAATTAATTATGAATATTTTTAGGAGTTTGTTTGTAGTTACGTACAAAGCTACACAATGGGATATCTGTGCTCTTCTCACTACGGGTATCGAAACACGGTTTCTAGCGTTGCAAGTCCGCAGACATACCACTGTGCCACTGGGGGGCATTTTTAGGAGAGTAAATCTAGTGCCAGTTTTTTTAATACCATTTAGTCTTTGTCATTTGTTTCATTTATTAAGCTTCATTGTGCAAATGCACACTAATTTTATCTTGTTCAGTAAGGAAGACTTATTCCTCCATTTTATAATCAGTTTATTAATTTATATACATACACTTTTCCCATGAATCCCGAGTTCGAATCATCCTGTCACCAAACGTGTTTGCCCTTTCAGCCACGGGGGTGTTAATGAGTTGGTCAAGCTCACTGTTTTTTGGTAAAAGAGTAGCCCATGAGTTGGTGGTGGGTGGTGTTGACAAGCTTCCCTTTAGCCTGTCACTTCAAAATTAGGAAAGTTAGCGCAGATTTTTTTTTTAATAGCAAAGCCACATCGGACTATCTGTTGTGTCCACCGAGGAGGAATCGAACCCCTGATTTTAGCAGTATAAATCCAAAGACTTACCGCTGTCCCAGCAAGGGGCGTTAGCCCCTGAGTAGCTTTATGTGAAATTCAACAACAACAACAACAAAACATCATATATCTTTAATTGGACTATTTGGCGTTGTAAGTGCTAAAAATCTGAAGCACCTACTTGAATCAATAAAAGAATAATCATAACCTTATCACTGATTTCACAGATATAAAATACGTCATTTTTGGTTTGTTTTCAAGATAAGAAAATTAATTAGAAAAGCATACCCTTTCAAGAATTAATCGAAAAAATTGCCTCAGCGTCTTATCCATATATGGTAGTTCGAGTTGTTTAAAAATGCCTTACTGGAAGTGCTATTGTAATAACTGTTTAGCCCAGTTATAGAGCACTCCCCTACGTGCAAAAGGTTCACGGCTCGATCGCGGGTCCAGGATGCACAAAAACTTTGATTACTATAAAAAATGACGTTCAGTTTATGTTCGCCTTGCGACCTTGAGAAAAGGCCTGAAGACGAGCGTCGTCCGTGAGAAGGAAGGGAGGTTGTAGTTTTATTTAATCATATTTATCATAAGACACTATGTTAGGCCTGGTATATTTTAGCATTACATACCTAATATGGTCCCTTATGGATTTTAAAGAATTAGAAGAGTGTATATTAACAGTATTTCAACCACACTGTATTCGTCATATCCATTGCCGACGACGCGTTTCGATCAATCCAGAGCTTTTTAGGCCGGCTGGTATACAACGAACATAATAGTGGTTGAAATACTATTTATATAGGACTGAGCGAATTGCGTCGTTGGGAATGGATATGACAAATACAGTCGCGTTGAAACACTATTAATATATACTATTCTAATTCTTGAAATTCCGTAAGGGTCTAGATAAGGAATGTGATATTAAAAATGTAATAGGCCTAACATAATGTCTTGTGACAAACATACTTAATTATATCATGCTTCGCCAACTTGTAAAAGGCGTTCAAACCATAACAATGGTGTTTTAGTTGTTTGCTCGGCCTATCTAACTTGGGTATGCGAGATTCCGCTGTTCAGTCCTGCTCGTGATGACGGAAAAATTGGATTACTGTGTCTATAATAAAACACCAAATCTTTTATCTAGCGTTTGTTGATCATATCCGGCTTGGAAGTTGTTCAAATTATCACACAATCTTATCAGTTGGAGTACATGAAACATGTAATTACAGTTAAATTACATCACTCTGGGATATAATGAGACTATACAGAAATGTAAAATGTTGTGTAGTATGTTTAAATTGTAGAATGTGTAAGTTTAATTTTTTATAAAACACAGTATTCACGTAATATTACTTCATTTTTTTTTACAGTGTGGTTAGCATGAAAATGCAGAAATGTGCTAATACATATTCTTATTTATGTATGATAGAAATTTCAAAATCAACTATGAAAATTGTTCTATTTTTATGATTTCTTTATAAATTTACAAAATGTTACTGCTAATTTCCTCGAACGGAAGTTGGTTTTTTACATTAAATAATTTGAATTGACTGTTTTGATTGGCTATTATGATGGCTTTGTATTCAAAGAACATACTTTAACTTGTATATATCAAAGGAACTTGGAATACCTAAACTTCTTTTATAACTCTACAGTGACTAGAACGAGTTTTACCAACATTCATATCTTAAACTGTCAAAGTGGCAAATTTTGAGTATCATAATAAAACTTAACAAGAGTCCATTTGCCACACGTACACACACACACATATTGGACCCTAAGGATAAGAAATATATCCAATCTTTGTAGTACTATTTTTAAAATTATTTAAATGAGTTATAATGATTAGCTAGAATATTAAATATTTATGTATTTTCTTTATATATATATCCACAATTTAGTCGGTTTTCTGACGTAGTAGTTCCCAAACTTTCCCCCAGAACATTCCACATTCTGACTGAGGCTCCCACCCAATGAATCTATTGATACTAAGTACGATAGTGTATTTGCTGCGGCTCCCCTAACACTTTCCTGCAGTCTCCCAGGGGTCCACGGCCGGCTGTTTGTGAACCCCTAGCGTAGGGCACAAAGTAATTTCTGCTTCGAGTGTCATTTAAGCTGACTCCTGTGTTTGTGTGCAGATTTCTCTGTTGTATTGTTTTCATGAAAAAGTTATGTTATTTTCTTATGAAGCACAAAATTAATTTGACACCCATGAAAGGTTGATAACCTTATTACGCTTCAATAACACCTCGCAAGTGTGGAACTTACGACGTCACGTTTATATGCTCTGCGTAGCTGGGTACTTCTTTCTGTAGCCCCCCCCCCCCAGTGGCTCAGGAAAGTTGGAAGACTTTTAACACTAAAGACTGGGTTTCGATACTCGTAGTGAACATAGTACAGATAGTCCATCACGTACCTTTGTGTTCCACAATAAATAAGCCTCTTCCATTTTCAATAACATGGATCGGGCTGTGTACAATGTGAGTTAATATTGTGACGTCAATAAAAAAGCTCGTTAGGAACATTAAGTATTCTGTAGCGATACTTCTCCAGATTTATCAGTTCTACTCAGATGTTCATTCTAAAACTTCCCTCTTACGTTCTATTTAAAATTCATTGCATAACATTATTAAAATTGGTAATTATATCGAGCTATTTTTCATACTAATATTATGTATCTTTCAGACTTCTTCATCGGTATTCGGTCCATGTTTTGGACCAGGGAGGGTCAGGTTCAGCGTTGACCTCTTCCTCCCTCTCTGGAATTGTTATTTTGTTTGCACTGTTACTGAATCCAAGGTAATAACTCTTGCTACATTGTTTTTGCATTACTCAGAGTAATTGTTTATCTTTTATTTTTCTCTTCAAGGATTCGGGAAAAGCGCTATAGATAACGTCATACCTAACAAACGACCGGATTTCATGAGTGAGTTGATCTGGAGCCTTCAGATGCCCCAGCCGTTGGTGGTGGCGCCCTCTCTGAGCAGTCTTTTTGTTCTTCCCCATCTAAGCATGTATCCAGAGAAGATTTTGGCTGCTATTATTATATCTCCTATCATTCCTTCGAGTATGAAGGCTGAAGACTACGTAAAAATTAAGGTTAGTCAAATTAATTAATTAATTAATTAATTATGAACGATACGGACTGATGGTATCGAGTAAAATATAATCATACAATAACTAGAGTTTCTCGAATCATTTTGGACTGAGTTATAGAATAAAAATAGTGTGAAAAATCGGTGCCCATGTTAACAGATAGGGATTTTTTATTATTATTTTCGTGAGCTTGTTGTGATATTGACCTTTGACCTTGACCCTCAAAAAACTAATCAGTTCTAAGTTGGATCATAGTCCAAAATGTATACCAACTCCCCAGTGGCACAGCGGAAGGTCTGCAGACTTATACTGCTAGAAACCGGGTTTTGATACCCGTGGTGGGCAGAGCACAGATAGCCCTTTGTGGAGCTTTGTGCTTAATAACAAAACAACAAATCTATACCAATTTTCGTCCAAATCCATTATGAGGTTTTTGAGAATTCTTGGTAACAAACACACGCACAGGGGTGAAAAAAATAACCTCCGTCCACCTTCGGACGTAGTGGGTAGATAACCAAGAAAAAGTTAGACACAAGAGTATCCAACATATAAATGAAATAACCTAACAGTTAGTAATAACGAAATAGTGTGGTGACATCTAAGTCAAGACTTGTAACGCTAAAATCTGGGGTTCAATTCCTTGCTGTTGACACAGCAGATAGCTCAATTTGGCTTTGCCCCAAAACAACAACAAAAGTTAAGTAGTCTGAGTTATTTTACAGTATTGTGACAACAGTCTTGAAATAAAATTACGCAACTGTAGCGTTATAAGAACACCGTTCTGATAACGTGTAAGTAAACAGCATTATCTATTATTGTATTATTGATAACAATGAAATAATACCACTCTGTCGTAACTACGTACATTGTTTTGGTTATGTATATGTATGATATCGTCGTAATGGAGTGAAGCAGCGTGACAAAACGGATTAACTTTTCTTGATAACAATGAAATAATACCAATGTATCGTAACTACGTACGATATTCTGTTGATACGGTAGCTTAGTTTGATACTAAAATACGAGTTAAATACATGTTTATATTTTAACTACCCGAGTTTATAATGTATGTATGAAAAAAAAATATGTTTTTATGTCTGAGGTTTTAATAAGCGGTAGAAATAGCTTGGTTTAATAATAATTAAGTAAAACACTGACACAAAAACTGATTTAATATGAGCTTAAATATAATCATCCTAACACTATTACTAATTACATTATTTTGATGATATCGAAGTAATATGATCTAACAATAGTGAGACAGAAACTTGAAACAGTGTCTGTAACTAAGCGCATTCTAATGATATAGTCTAACAACAATTAAGTTTGTTTTGTTTCTTTTTAATTATGCACAAAGCTACACAAGGGCTATCTGTGCTCTGCCCACCACGGGTATCGAAACCCGGTTTCTTGCGTTGTAAGTCCGCAGACATATCGCTGTGCCACTGGGGGGCCAATAATTAAGTAAAGCAGAGTGTTTAAATCTCGAATACCATAACCTGACATAATAAACATAACTGATGATGTCACGTAGGTTCAAGAAGACTTAATATACAATGATAAAAACCCTAGAACCCAAGCGCATTTGAAAGGTAACCCTTTCTTCTTCAGGGGCAAACTAGGAAACATCAGACCGTCTCTAATATATTAGGTCGTCAAGAAATTAATGTCGCTTTTTTTAGATGGAAAACCCGAACAACTTGTATATCAAAACAAAACATTTATTAAATGAAATATTCTCCATTGTTATCAATGATGCTTTTCTATCTTACAGTCAGGTTGTTAATGCCCTGATTAGAGAAATCAGTTGGCTTTGAAGCAAAAAAACATGTCGATGTCCGCTTTAACACTTACACATTTGCATACGTTTTCCCATTAAGATGGTGCTCCAGCGAGTCAAATGTGGCGCATGTGGACGTGCATTGTCGTGGAGAAGAAGAACAACTTTCCGACTGACGAGTGAAGGGCGTTTCTGATGAAGGCCTTGATTTAAACATTCCAGTTGCTGACTATAGAACTCTGCATTGACAGTTCGCTGCGGATTGAGGAGTTTGAAATAAATTACTCCTTTGATGTCCAACCAAATGCAAAGCATCACTTTTTATTTAGGACTAATCCATTGTTTTTGGCGTTTAATATTCGCATAGAGAATCCATTTTTCATCACCGGTAACAATTCTGTCCAAAAATGGTTTACGCGCATTACGTGCCAGAAGAGACGAAGCAACGTTCACACGTTGGAAACGATGATCATCGGAGAGTTCGTGAGGCACCCAAACACCTTATTTATGGAGTTTTCCCATATTTCTTAGATTTTACTTATTGTTTCATGAGACACATGTAATTTCAGGACCATTTCACGAGTATGTTGCTTTGGGTTAGACTCAACAAGCGTCTTCAGAGCGTCGATCCCTGCCATCGCAGTTTTTAAGGCTAAAGTGACTTGAAAGATATTTTCTGAACCATCGTTGAAACTTACGAACGTTCAAAACATTTCCATAAACGTCTTTGATATTCTTTGTGGCTACAGAGGCGTTGTTTCCCTTCTTGTATTCAAACATCATTGCATGCCGAATGTGTGTCTCGTCATGTGCCATCACTATAAGGGATTAGAATATACTGAACTTTACACATTATATAGGCTACATTAACGTGACGTTTAGGCGGTTCGTTTAACTATTATACGTGATGTACGTGTTGTTTTTTTGGGGGGGAGGGGGTAATGAAAGTGTTCCAAAACGCGACATTAATTCTTTGACGACCTATGCCGACATATTAATGAAGATATTTAAAATCACGTGACGAAAATTAGTTAAGCAATAACTGCAGAAGTTACAGCGTAAAACGACGATAAACTAAAAATTCGACATATAACCGAAAAAAAAATCAAAAAGTCTCTATGCAGAGTATAGAGTTTATACCGAATATAAACGTATTAAAAACTAAGCATTTTATTATCCAGCATAGGCTTTTGAGAAATAATTAATTTGGTGGTAATGAAGTGAGAGAACTTGGTTGGCTCAATATTTGTAGATGATAGCAACTTGTATCGCTTCCTTACCGATAGCCCCCCAGTAGCACAGCGGTATGTCTGCGGACTTACAACGCTAGAATCCGGGTTTTGATACCCGTGGCGGGCAGAGTACAGATAGTCCATTGTGTAGCTTTGTGCTTAATTATAAACAAATCCTACTAATAGGTTCTGTGTAGCGAATAAAATGATGTGAAAACCATGCCTCTGTTGTGCTAATATATCAACCATCCGGATTAATAATGTATATTTAAAAGAATGTATGTATGTTGAGTTTTAAATAAGTTCTAGAAACTGCTACTATTATATGTTGTCTTTAGGTTCCAACCTTGGTAATCAGTGGGGACAAAGACCAAAAGAATAACTTAAAACCCGCTAAAGCCTTGGAGAAGATTCCAGGAAGTGAGCTCCGTATTTTCCCGCACGCCTCCTCTCCTGCTCATCAAAGTCAACCGAAACTTTTTCATAAAGAGCTGTACAACTTCCTGAAGAAGTTCAAGTAACGTTATCACTAGAAGTGGAACAACTTGTTATGTATTGTGATAAATCGTGAATCTGTTACTCGTGTCTCAAGCCTTCGGGGATTTTCCTTGAGCAGATGCCATCTGTGTATATTTTATATATTTAATAATGAATTTCGCATGTTTATAGAAAAACAAACAAGTTGTTATTCTACAGAGTTTGACATCGTCTTAAAGCAACATGGCGGTTGTCATCACCACGTTTCGGCGCAACTAATAGTGGATACATTATCTTTAAATGAAGTTGTGATCTCCAGGTTTAAACAACGACGCCACTCTTAGTGTGTGTTTTGTCTTGCAAGAAGGAGAATTCTATGTCTATGATATTAAGCCTTACGTCTTGAAAGAACCTATAATTGTTATTTGAAGTTGGCATAACTAAGTGTATTTTGTGTATTCATAAAACTATTGATTGTTATCGTGAAATGTTTGACATAATTGATAGTGGATTTTACAACTTGATAAAACATTGATTTCTTACAGTTTAATATAACTAATAGTGGATTTTACAACTTGATAAAACATTGATTTCTTACAGTTTAATA